AAAAGTAAATAGAAGAAATAAAGTATGGAGGAGAGAGTGAGGAGTAAATAGTTAAGTCAGACACAAATAACAAGAATTAATATGTAAAGTGTCCGGAATTGAGGAAAATACTAATAAGGAAATGCCATGTGACGAAGGAGGTGAAATTCCGCAAAGTTGCTCGTTCAGCGAAAGATCAAGGAAGGATGGGTAAGGCTATTGTTAAGAGAAACGTGGCAAAGCGGAATCAGGAAGGAGTATAGGATGCTGTTCAAATACACTCCGTTGTCTGACGATTGTCTGGCGCTTCCTCAAGCCTGACATCATCACAGTTTGCGGGTTGGCCACCAGCAGGCAGTTTGAGTTTTGTGTTTTTCGTCGATGCAAGCAAGTCACGCTCCGCAGCGAGAGAGACAGAGGTCCCTTGGCGCTTTATGGGGTTGATTGATGTTTTCGGTGCAGACGGAGCAGATGTAATTTTTGTGACATCTTTGGAGGCAGAGGAACTGATTGGCGCTGAAGTAGGTATCCCAGTGGTCTCAGATTCTTTACTGTTAAGTATATAAAATAGTTAGGGAATAGCAAAAAATAGCTGTGAAAATAAGGGATGATGATAAACATTATCATAACATTAAAAACTATAAAATTGGGAGTTTAAGCGTCATTAGATCTGATTATAAATCGCCATGTAATCACTATTCTGATTCACAGCAAAAACAATATTGCCATTGTGGCAAACTTTTTAACGCTGTATAAGACGGATTGTGCATATACTAAGTAGTGAATCGTGCAGTCCATGTAACAATGAAGAGAACGATGATCTGTTATGTCCAATCAATCGCAGATGAAAAACCAAGCCTAACCTAATAAGAATAAAAGAAGTTTGAGCATGCAAAATAACAAATATGACAAGAGTAGAGAATTAAGAAAATAAATGGAGAAATAGTAGGGATGCTGTAAATAAGTAAACAACAGGATTTTAAGAAGAAAGAACGGGGACAGGAGAGAAAGAAACATATAGTTGAGTTCGAGAGGAATCGAGTAAGTGATAGATAATAAGCGTCTAAAGATTTACGCGAGCTGAATAACTAGGATTCCATTGACACGATTTAAGAGTTCTAAGATTCCAGCGGGCGTCGGGAAGGGTAAACTCAAAGTGCCTGTATGAGGGATAGCCAAATTTGTTAGATGACGACTTCCTGTCGCCTGTAGATGCGAGGCAGGTTGACCGGTGACGGAAGTTGACCCTGTAGAGGCGGCTATGCTTGTGTTTACAATGCTGCTTGCTTCACCTACTGCTTTAGAGATGGGAGGAGCTGATTTACCTCCAGACCTCTCTTGCAATCTACGGGCCATGTTAACGGCCTGTTGCGTCAAAGTAACAAGGCATTCGTCACTGTGTCGAGTGTATTCATTGTCAGAACCCAAACGTTCCTTGTAAACAGAATAGCGTAGCTTCTCATAATCCAAAGCGGTGCGAAAGTCGCCTCGATATTGATGTGCCCGACTGAGAAGGTGACAGGTAAATGCTTGTCGAAGTCCTGTAGCTCCATAGAATCTAAAGATTGGAAAATTAAACTCAAAATTATCGTTTTCTATATGCAGGTGAAAGCAGTGAGTAAGTTAATCATTTTGAGATGAAAAGGTACATACGATCTGTTCAATAGTAGAGCATTTTCCAAGAATCGGATGCACAAATCAAATTCACCAGACATTTGAAGCATTAAACCGATATTACCCTGAAAAGGAAACCAAAAAGTAATTTCAACAATAAAAACAACTTCGAGTGTAATTGTACATACAAAAGAAAATCTTACATCAATCTGAGCCATTTCAGGATGAAACTCCCCATGGTAAATTAATGCCAAATAGCGGGCACGATACAGGAGTTGAAGAGCCACAGAAACGTGACCACATGCGAAGCAATAAAGAGCCAAGTGTACCTTTATTGGATTGAAGGATTCAGGGATAAGTGACAAAATAAAACATAAAAAACAGGACCTTTAAAACCTAATTAAATATACATTAACAAATATGTATGCAATGGACTCCGAAATAAGTGCGTTTCTCTAAGTCTTCCTACTAATATGACTAAGTTGCAAAAACAAGGTCAAACAACTTCTATTCGTATTCGTATTCTCAAAACAACTTCTACACAACGCAAGGATACTGCGATCAGACAAAAGGCCACATTATCTTGGCCTTTATATCTTCTCTTAAATTTTAGCATAGATAATAAGTTATATAACTCTATCGTGGAACTATGACACCAGTAAGGGTCTGTTACAGAAATTTTGATGTTGTAAATAAGAGAAGAGTATTGCATAAAAAGTGCTCACATATTCTGTGGTGGTATGTGGACTGTCGATTCCATGGACACGTTCGCTGATGATTGCTGCGCGCTGCTGAAAGAGCAATGCAGCTGGGTGCTCTCCCATAACATAGGAAAGGCGTGCCAGAAGTCGGTTACAGGCACCAATATCGGGATGCATCGAGCTGTATGTGCCATTGAGTAGGCTGAGAGATTCGTTTACAAGTTCGAAACCGTCTTGTAGAGCACCGGCTGAAATTCGTGCCTGACCTGTGGTGAAATAATGGTAAGCATCGGTGGCGTGAGGATGAAGGTGTTTTACACAAGGAAACAGCTGTACTACGTCCTCCGGTGAGAATATGGGGCGAGAGTGGTGCCGAGCTCCAGGAGGAGGAGTCAAGGGATAGTCGCGCAACAGCAGCTGCATGCCGGTCGATAGGCAGAAGTTGCGCAGTAGTTGAAGACGATTAATGTCACGTGCTACACAAAACGCATCAATGTCAGAGCTGGGCGTGATAAAATAGCAAATTAATACAATGAACGGAAGAAAATATATAGCAAAAAGTGTAACAGAGACAATACGGTTTTGAGAATAAGGCATTGGAATCATATAATAAAAAAAAGGAAATATAAAACACCATAATATTTCAAATAATCTAACCAAAAGGAGTAGCGTTAGAGATTATTTGGGCATCTAAATAAAACAACATTGATCAGATTTCAAGATCCTATGCTAAAAACTGATTAGAATACAAAATTCAGCCAAAAATTATCAAGAAGTGCACGATATTGTGAATCTCAAGTAATCTAATACTAGA